GTGTTGGTGTAAATTCCAAACAAAGAAAATTGTTAATGTTAAATAACGACTATGGGAACTCATATCTTTCTGAAGAGATTTTTTTTTTTCAGTAATGAATTCTCTCGAGGCATCTTCCTCTTATTTATATTCCTTCCTTATATATGAAGACTTTCAGCCTTCTTTATTAAATGATTCCAACCAAATACTTGCTTATTCAGTGTCACATTAACAGAGACTAACCATTTAAAAGATTTTTTCAATAATAAGATAAGAAATAACTGTTTGTGACAGACTCAAGTTTTCCGGTGCATAGTGTATCAGAGAATTCACTGAGCCTTTTAATTCCAGTAGAGCCTTTTTGAAAAGCTGTTACAGTACGTGATGTTTAGAGCATTGGAACTAAAGGAGGAGCAAGTGTGGTTGTTTTTCAAATTTATAATTCTGTTGAAACTAATAAAGACACGGTAGGAGGCAGCACATGTGTTTTATCACTTGAATTGCTGACTTCACAATAGGAAAAATAAAGCAAATTATTGTATGTGTTTGTCTTTTGCAGTAAATAGTCATATTTTTGTATTTGTATGTGCATTTACTATTTTTAGGAGATGTGAGGCACACTTGGAGGTAGGAGGGTGGATTAAAATGGGATTTCAGATTCTTGGGAATTTCTACTTTGTGGCCAAAAGTTCTTGGCAACATTTGTATGTGAAATGTTAAACTGAATTTACTGTCTCAATTCACGGGTAAAAGTAGAAAGTGTTTGCTGTGAATTATTTGCTGTTTGATTTAGTTAATCTTTTAGGAATATTGATTTGGAATCTTAGCCATAACGTTTTTATTTACATTTTAGAACTTTAAAATTAGATCTGTGCTATTGTTTTCTTCCCTGCCTCTGGCACACTTTAAGCTGTGTAGGATTACCTTTCCTCTTAGTAAAGAGTTTTTTGGCTTGAGAAATATCAACTTAGAAAATTCTTTTTAATGTGTTTTGTCTTCCTCTTCTCTCCATCTGTAAATAGTGGTTATTTCTGTGAAACATTGGTCATCTGTGTTTAAGTTGTAGAAGTTGGCTTTGTCAGCTGATTTTCTGTGGAAGCAATAGAAGTTATAGTATATTTATTTGAGGAACAGTCACTCTTTCTTTTATTCTTTAGGTACATGAAGCACTCACCCCATCACTTACCACATTGCAGATGGGAAATGATGGCTAAGAGCAGAAAAGCAGAAAGCTGTTAAATCACCTCTTAGTCCCTCTTAAGAACTTTGAGAGCATATCCAGAGTAGTAAGCTTAAACTGAGTAGTAAGCTTAAACTATTCTCAGTCCTGAACTGCTTAGAATTTGAAATTAAATTCACACACAAAGATTAGTACTGATCAGATGAGCTTTGCTAATAAAAACATAGCTTAAGAAGGTGCTGCTTTCTAGCTAAAATGCGACTGTGTTTCTTATGCGGATCAATGCAGAATCAAACATGCAAGTTTAATTGTGCTCTTGAAAGTAGCTTAAATTCACCTGTTTGACTCCACACTAGAACAGACATGGAGAGCTAATGACAGGGTCAGCAGTAACAGTTAAGAGGTTTAAAATAGCCTGTAATCAGGTAAACTCAATGGCCTGTGTAGACATACCTTTTCTTATTTCTCATTTGTCAGAGGAGAAAGTGCAATGTTCCCGTCACCTTAAGCAAGCTGCTTTTTCAATTTATTTGGGTTTTTTATCATAATTTCATACATTTTCGTATTTGTTTGTGACTATATTAAGAGGTTGCAGATTCAGGAATATTGTCTCAGGCAGAGCTGAAAGTTGAGCCTATTGAAATGCAGCAGAACCTATCTTAATACAGCAGAAACTGTCTTAGTGCATTTGTCACTATACATCCCTTCTGTTTCGAAAATGAAATTACTGCCTTGTTTTGGAATTTTTGTACACTTTTGGTGGGCGGGGGAAGTTGTATGTGGGGTTTTTTTTTACTGTGAATATAGGAATTCATTATTTGTGTTTAACTTTCTTTTTGGTTAAAAAAAAAAAAATACTGCTGAATTATTTCGCACAATGTTGCATTGGGAAGGTAGCCAATTTCATCTGTTCCAGATCTTGATGTGAGTTTGTGGGAAACCTCTAAATGCGTTGGTTTTCTGTCCTATACAATAAATGAATCCAGTAGGATTTTAGATATGGTCATGTAACACGTATTTTGTACATAACCCACAAAATGGACCAAAGTCACTCAGTCAGTAATTCACAACTCAGGAAGTGGTCTCCAGTTTACACCGTATCACATAACATTCTCTTTGTGTTAGGTGAAAGTATCCATACTTATGTGCATTATATACAAATAACATGTGTTACGTGTCTTAACTAATAATTTATGTTGTGTAAATAGCCCTTTCGTTCTATAAGAACCAGACACACTGACTTGTTGGCTAATTTTCTAAAAAAAATTGATTTCCTCTTCTCAGTAGTGTCTCTTGGGTTGTTGTGGAGATGCTTTTATTAGCACAGAGTAATATTAATCAGGACTGTCCTGACAGTAGAATTGCATTAGGCTATATAACTTATTTTGAATTAGAGAGTTTAATAATCCAGGGTAACAGCCTAGCTTTGCTTTTTTTTAAAGTTTCTTGATTATCTGATTATGTATTTTGGACGACTTTAAAGAGCCTGGAGGAGTATTTGTTAAAACAAACAATTTGAGACGTTGGAAACATACCTAAATCCAGTACAGAAAAATTCAGGCTCTGCCTCTGGTGAAAACCAGACTTAATGCTATACGTAGTGTCTCTTAGGAGAATATAGATACCCCCAAAAAACAATATTCCCAGTTCCTGCAAAACAGTATTTGGGAGGGAAGGATGGAATTTTTGTTTGAAACTTAAGCGTAGTTGAAAAGGAAATGAAATCAAGTATTTCAGATTTCCTGCAGGCTGGAAATCCCAATAAGGCATTTCAGGCACACCCACCAACACTCTCCTACAGCAGAGTATGTTCCCTGATGCCTGCGGCTATTGATGGAACCAACACGCTTATCGGTCTCGTTGCTGCAGTGTCCTCCTGGAGTCTGCATCATCTTGGCAACACGTTATTTAGACCTCCACTTGCCTTAGAGAGTCCTTTCCAAGGGTTTATAATTCAAAGTGCTTATGGGGCAGTAAGGAGTCTGGAAGCATAGACAGCCCTAACTCCAAAAGGCTTCTCAAAGCTTCCAGGCTCACCAGGGATGCCCTTGGAGCTGGGTCTCAGTCAGAAGCTCAGAAGCAGGATTTTCGGACTTACAGTGAGAGAGGAGCAGCGGGGTTTGACTTGAAAGTGTCTCAGAAGTGGGGAGCCTTTTAAGTCTTCCTAAACGCATTGCCTCAGGAAAGGGTTCTGTTCTTCTGGGATCTGTGGTTGTTGGGCACTCCTGCTGAGACCTGCCTGGGAGACGTGGGGATTGCCAGGCATTTTGTTCTAGGATAAAATACTGTGCAGGTTATCCCGCTTTCTGGAATTAAAAAGGAAAACCGAAACAGTTTAGCATCTATCCTCAGTCAGGCTGCTGCAGGGCCAAGGCCCTCGAATATGAAGCATTCCAGTATTTGGACAACCCAGATCCATCCCAAGGTCATAGTCCCAGTAAAGACAAGCATCAAGGCCTTCTTCAGTCCTAGAATATTCTGCTCTGAGATTCCCCGGGGTTTCACTAGAATGTGGCCTTGGCTTTAATGGAGCTAATTAAAAACAAGAGACTTAAAGGCAAAAATGTTGGGGTCAATGAACGGATATTTTCCTTCAGTCTTACGTTAGTGCATAACTAAACAGATTTAGCCAAGTGTATTTTTGCTGTTATTTGGTTCTTTGGAAGCAGCAGCTTCTAATCCTGAGGTTTATCCTGCTGCAGTTCTGACCAATTACCTTTAAAAGCAACAGAGTCCTATACTATTGGGTTTAGACTTAACTGTGCTTTGGAGCAGAACGTTGGCAGCTTGTAAAACAACGATCCACAGCTGCACACAGTGGGGAAAAAAGTCCGTAGTCTTATTTTCTGTTGTAGGTTTGTTTCAGAGAAGAGAAAGGCCTTGAGTTTGCAGGCAACCTTGGTCAGCAGAATAGCTCCACCAAACCTGCTATTCACTGAAGCAAATTCGAGCAATTCTGAAATAGCTTTAATTGATATCAAATAGCAGTTCAAGATCCAAGAGCAGAGGGACAGGGGGAGAATGAAAAGATAGTCCTTCGTCTGCTGGTTTAAACTCCAGCATAAATATTGCCTTTTCTTTGTCTCTAATATGCTTGGGAACTGTTGAATTAATTTTACTAATAAATTAGTGATTTTTATAACAAACCAAACCATTTAAAAAAAAAAAGAAAAAAAAAAGCTTTTCACTGGGGTCATTTTATCCTCAGTCCTCTGATGCTTTTTGTCCTCATAGCCTGATTTTTAAAAAATGTATTTCCTAGATAACTAGGCGAAGATATTTTCAGTAGGTAGCCATACTCATATTAGTCCTAGTCTGTACAGCTCAGATAACGAGCAAGGACTTCAGTACATCAGCACCATCTGTGCAAATCTATCTGACACTTTGCATATTGATGTAGTTATTGAAGGCTATTAACCTGTGATTTGTTTTTCTAGATTATCTAGGTTAAAAATACCTCAGATAACTAATTCTGCAGTCATATCACTGTTTTAGAAGTGTATTTTAGGAATTTTTATACCCATTCACACTTACTTTTCTTTTTCTTTCCTTTCAAAGAAATTTAACTCTTTTCATATTTTTACTTCTTTCTTATGTCAGTTCTGTTTCAGATCAAAAAATCACTTAAATTTTTTTAGACTGAATTAAAAAAAATAAATTTGTTTCTGAATTATTCTTCTCCTAGAAAGTATTTCCCCATACTTAAAAGTAGCATATGCACTGTATAGTTATTTCTTGCCATTTTGAAATAGCTATCTAGATAGTGTTTTGCAGTTGTCATAGTGTCTGTAAAATGCATATGTGTGAATGAAGTGTTTTTTCTTGAACCTTTTTCTTACAGGCTCATGAGGCAACGCTGGAGGCTAGGGCCAGCCCAGAGCTGAATGATCGTATGCAGCAGCTGGAAAGGGAGGTAACACGGTATCGGGACGAATCTAGCAAGGCTCAAGCTGAAGTGGATCGTCTTCTGGAAATCTTGAAAGAGATGGAAAATGAGAAGAATGATAAGGATAAGAAGATAGCAGAACTGGAGAGGTGAGAATGCTATAAAGTTACTAGAGGAGTGAAAGAGCTGATTAAAGTTAGAGATAAATTAGTCCATTTTTCTTGTCTTAAAAAGCTTAGAGTGCCTATTTTGGGAAAGTCTGTTTAGAGTTTTTCTGCCTTCAGTCCTTTATTTTGGTAGATTGTAAGTGAACAGGTGTCTTACTGTGTGCTTTCATTACCCAGCTGCTCAAAAATAGGGCTGATATAGATAGAACTAGAAGGGTAGATAGAGCTGTAAGGGAGATGGCAGGAAAAGTTGCTGATACTGTGGTGTGTTTGGAGAACAATTTGTTCTTTTGATTTAATAAATTCCTCAGGCGTGGTTCTCCAAAAAACAAATAAGAAAAATGACTGTTAAGAGCTTGTGTACTAGTTAGTCGGGTTCTTCTGACAAGTGGCATTGAAACTCTTTGTACTGGTAGGGAGACAGGTAAACTTTGGCTCATGTGAAGCTGAATGAACAGATTTGCTTTTGTCCAAACAAAATGTGATTCAGCACTTTTCAGCATTTTCTGTCTTTCAGTTGGAGCCAGGATGCTCAGATATTTTTCCTAGACTTTAATTTCCCAAACAAAAATTATAATTTATTGTGATTCCATGACATATGTATCACAATAACAAATAGTAGAGCTTGGGAAAGACCTGAAACAGATTCTGTTTTCTGTCATTTTCTTACCTTACAGTGGGCCAAGATGGAGTTTCTAGGCAGTAATACCTGTTTGGGGTTTTTTGTTTACTTTACCGTTCGCAATGAAGAATCACTAACTTGGGACAGCAGAATGGAAATTTGATTATTCCTATTGGCCTTGTGCCAGAATAGTCTTTCTAATTTCTATCCTATCACCATTTAACTGCTCTGCATTTAGTGTCAGGAAGATTAGGGGAACTGAGTAGAGGACATTGCAGGTTCAGCATGATGGCAATGGTTACTGTTCATTGGCTTCATGATAGTCAAATTATGGGCCCCTCTGAATGATTTGAAAAACTCTTTTTCAAGAAGTCCATTCTTGTTGCCTTGAAAGTGACAGAGCTCTGAAACAGTTCAACTTGTCAGCTGGGTTTCTTCTCTCTTTGTGATTGTAAACAGCATCCTGTTAGTTTTCTTTAAGTTGTTGTTTTATTTAACCAAAATTCTCTATACCTATGGTGTAAGCTTGAACACCCAAAAATGAGGATATGTCCTTTTTAACCGTCTTCCCTTTTTTTCTAAGGGATACAACTTTTAGCCCATTGATACATGATGTATTCAGCAGAACATTTAGGCAATAGGTTGATAGAATAGTTGCATTTAGTATAGACGTGAAAAAGCTAAATAGCGGTTACAAGTCACATTTGTCCGTGTGATTTTTTCAGTCCCTTAGAGAGGTGCCCATCTTGGGTCTGAAGTTCACCATGTCCTCATCTTAGGCCATGCAAGTTGACTAGAAACCAGGGTGTAAGCAGAAAACTTTATTAACGTATGGGGAAGAAATATGTTCATAGTGCCTTAATTTTTTTCTATGTGCAGAAGTAATTACTGTTCAGGAAAAGCAAGTCAGAAATATTCATCATTCCTCGACCTGATTCCTGGAAGAGATTCAAATGGCAGGAAGAGAATTTTCTTATGCACGCTTTTAATGCAAGTCTGATTTTTTTATTACATTAGCATTCAGAAATTCTAATCAAGATTGGGACTTGAAGTATCAAACACTGAATAAACACATATAAGTGGCCTATAATCAAAAGAGTTTATAGTCTACAAAGCAAAAAATAGCAAAGAAGAGAAATTAAGATGGGCCTCCTTCTCTTTTACAGATAAAAGCATTGGCACCCAATCTTCAAAGAATTAGAAAGGAACTTTTTCTTTGAAAAGATGCAGTTCCAGAGATCTGCAAAACAATTATTGTTTTTCACGTTATAGTGGTAGTTTCTTGCTGTTTCAGTCACAGACCAAATTCTTACTATCTCAATGAAAGCATATACCCCCAAATGACTGGACATCATTCCATAACAATTTGGTGAATACTTTGACTATTCATTGTTATCCATTCCTTCTTACCACCTTATCTTCGCTCTTATAAAAAAGAAATAGAGTGGTCCTCTTCTTGTTTTTTAACTTGTCGTCTTTTCTACCAGTACTGAGATAACATAGAATATGTCTTCTTTTATTTCTTGTAATTAGAATAGGTATTTCAGCTATGTCAAAGAAAAGACTACTTTTGTGATCTTGTGACTGCCAGCAGCCATGTAAATCAAGGGGAAAAAAAAAAATCTAAGAATATTCATATTCTCTAACCACTGTGAGTGGAAGTGGAAAAAGCCTTCAAGATCTAGAGACCTAAAGTGCATACTGTTAGTGTGGTGCATTCGCAAAATATCAAAACCTGAAATGATTTTTTCAGGTGGAACTGTAACATAATCACAGCACTGGAGAAGAAGATACAAGGTTTCAGATACTTTGTAGTGAGGTGTTGACTAATTTGATTAATTTCTCTTTTTCTGGATAATTGTTGAAATTTCTGTTTGGCCTTAGTTGTTTTCAGCTGCTCCCTCAAACCCCTGTTCTCTGGAAGCTTGCTTTTTCCTTGTGAGTTTTTACACAAAGCGGAGGTTTTAACATGCCTATTAAATGTATAGGTTGGTCCTGGTTTTATCTACCATGCTTGTTTATAAAGTATTCTTTCATGGCTGAGCTGATATATCTGGGCATGTTACATGGATGTTTTAGAGCTAAAGTCTTGGTTTCCTGAAAAGAAGAGATAATTAAAAGTCCTTCCTAAACAGTGGTTCATGCAGAGTGAGCTAGAGATTATCTTGACTTATAATGCTTCTATAGCTGTTCAAACTCTGCTGTGCAAAGGAAAACCCTAGTGCTTGCAGAAGCATTTGTCAGCAAGCAAAAAGGTGAATATTGCTGTACCTATCAGGAACTGTTATTATTCAGTGTAGAGCAAGATGAGAAGAAATAAGTCACATTCAGAGAATAACTGTACTAACAAAAATGGGCTTTTTCAAAAGAGAGAGTCTCTCCCTGGAGTTTTTCCTTATGCTAGTTACATGTGACAACTAGATGTCATTAGGAGAAGAGAAATACTAACACGGTTTCATCCATAGAAGAGAAGAAATGAGTCGCCTATTAGGGAGGTATATATAGGGAAACAGAGAGGGAGAAAAGATAGGAAGAGAGGAAGATGAAATGAAAAGCCTTTTCAATGATGGCAAAGCTGCCTTCAGTTCAACTTAAAATAAAGAGGGAAACACTTCCACTCTTCAGTAGCTATTGCAATTACTGGGTGGGGGACGTTGTTTTTCAGCTGTGAATGGCAGGAAAGATATCCAAAAATAATGTATTAAATATGGTGCATGCTATGCAAAAGTTTGAAAAATACTCTAGAGTCAACATGAGATTGAAAGCACAAGCTCATTAATTTATATTCTCTGTGGGCAGGATTTTGCTTTTTCTTACGGGAAGGTGGGTCATAAGTCCACATTTCTTCTGTCGGTGAACAGCCTTATAAGTTTTGTTTCTGTCCGCGGATTGTGGTAGTGTAGAGGGTTTTGTAGCTATGTGGTTATTCACTTTCTTTATAACTAACTGTTTGCTTTTTGTATTGCCATTCCATAATCTCCTGTCTCTCTGTAACTTTTCATTTTGTGTTTTGTTCCCTTCCTCGCTTTTTCTTTCCATTTATACTGTCACGTCCTGGTTCCACGAGTTGTTTTGTTTTGTACGTGCGGGGGTTTTTTTGACTATGCCTTTTCTCAGAAAGCACGCCTCCCGCAAATTGCACCCTCCCTACCAGGTGTCGGTCCCTGCACCGCAACACGTAGGGGGGTTTGTGTGGGACTTCCTGGGAAAGTGAGTGCTCTGTAAGGCTTCTGTTTCCTACGGGGTGGAATGTCACTGCTGGCTGCCCGGCTGCTGCTGCTGCTGCTGTTTGGGTCTGCTGCAATTATGCTTTTTTCCTTAGGTCAAACAGGAACTAGTTATGTCAAGTACAAGCTCTAACAGTCTCTGAGTCTCTTCAACTCACGTCACAGTGGTTATGACCACAGTCCAAAGGAGGTTTGCTGCTATTCTCCCTGATTTAAACAGACAGAAGCTGTTGCTTTTCATTCTAATTCTCTTGCTGTGTTTTACCTTTGGTTCTAATCTCTGCTATCAATTCTGCCTGAACCAGCTAAAACACAAGTGTTCTAAAATATGTAATTGATAGAGGTCAGTATTGCCTTATTGTTGAGTTTTGTTGTGATTATTATCCTGCAATAAAAAAAAGAAAAAAGAAAAAAAAAAGAAAGAAAAATAATGCTAATCACCTGGGACATGGCCATCATACCCTTCAGATGGATAGTTTACACACAGAGGTACTTGTGTGCATATATTCTGCGAATAGGAGCTGACTCTGTACTTGAGAGGTGGCAGTAAATATATATATGTATGTGTTGCTTCAGAGGTAAGCACTGAGTTAATATATATGGAAGTCCTGGTTCCAGTTACAGACTTGAAATTTATTTTAATTTGGCATGCTCACTATATGTGATAGGTAGTCCTTGTGACCTCATAGGGCACTACCATTTTTTTCCTGAAGGATACTTGACTTTGATTTGGGAACAAAGGAAGACAGTGCCCAGCTTTGGAGTACCAACAGTCCCATTAAGGACAGCGGGAAATGATGGCTGTTTTAAGAGAGAGATTTTGGGGAGTTTTTTTAAAAAGAATTTCAGGATGCCCTGTTGAAGAAGAAACCTTCAAACTTTTTATGTGTAGCAGCCAAAAGGTACACTCCTCATCTTAAATATTTCTTCTCAACAGTAAATAAAAATAAAAGGTCAAAAAACATAGGGTGATCTCAAAGGAGTGCTGAAAAATGTGGACAGTAGAAGGAAGTATCTTACTCTGTATGTCTTTAAGATGGTGATATGTTTGTGTAGTGGCCTGTGAAGGATAGATGGAGAGAGAAATTAACTGCATGTTCCATCAGCTTTATGGTTTCCTAGAATAGTGTAAA